CTCAACAAAGTGTAACAGTCGTTTTCACTCTCTTTCACACTCTCTTCTCCTTCTTGATTTTGTTGAATCAATTGTACAAAACACACAAAACTAAAGCTACTTGAATTTTTTCATTATAAACTTAATATAAAGTAAAATTTGTTTTAAAGTAAACATGCTGAACAATAAAATGTCGAATAGAACGACTTCACGCATTCTGTTTTTTCTTTCGTCTTTGTTCAGACTCTAAAAGCCTGCGTTGCTCGAATGAAATATAAATCTTGGGTTTATGAAAATGCACGAAGCGATCATTTTCAAATCAAGTGATGAAGTTTTATTTCTTGTACGTCTATTTTGATAACTTGAGATACATTCATTTTTCCTATTGAACGTACATAATTTGGATTCATAGATTGCAATTGATTACCATTCAACGTACACTTGTGTTTAAACATTGCACTATTTTCACGGTCTATACACACTTATACATAAATAAAGTACACTTGTGTTTAAACATTCTTGAGTAACCGCATTGGCAGTTCCTCCTCACATCGTCTTTCATAACCTCCTTTCTTGTCTCCATCTACACCTGGGACGATCTTGCCAAGCCCAAGTGAGTACAAAATTGGATTATTCCATGAAAGAGACCCTGATGCGTTCAGACCGCGTTTCGATTGGTTACGAACAATACTTTGGGATCGGTATTACCTTCCTGGTTTTCCACCCTTTTTTCTTCTCCCTTCCCTTCTCCCTTCCCTTCTCTTCCTTCTATGTATCCCTTCTCCATCTCTTCCATAATTATAAATCTCACAAGCATGTCTCCTTTGTTTTCTCGTATGATATCAACCAACTTGAGTGGAATAGTGGCAGGATAGGTGGTGATCGCCGATCGGTGGATCGGAAAGTGCATGACTAGGACGCCAATTCTTCTTCCTAATCTTAAAGTTTTTTCTTCCTTCGAGTTGTCTCGATTGTTCTTTTGCATGAGATATGTTGTCTCGATTGTTCTTTTGCATGAGATATGAACGTGTACGTGTATGATTGTTTTCTCTTTAAATTTCTTTTTTGGGTGTATCATCGTGTATGCACTGCTTAAT